TAGTATAAAAGAGCACAAAAGTGCAAAAGGAACAAATTACAGGACCCCAACAGGGTAATATCTAAGGCCCCAACAGGGTAATGAGATAGGGGCCAACAGCCCAAACAAAAAACACGCCTAATAAACAACAGAAATAGAAACCTGAGAGGACACGCACGTGGCGGCCTAGAGAACTCCACAAAACGAAAAAAAAAGAAAATGAAAAACAGAGCCACTGCACAATGCCTAGCCTGTATTCATTTCCCAAACAAAAACAGACAAACACACCGAACACAGACTCGAACAAACTACAACAAAACCAAAACACACAAACGCAACAAAACAAAACGAGCCCTTCCAAAATAGCAGCACCGAACCGAACCAACGGAAACAAGGCGACTGTGAATCCCGTAGTCAGAGACACCGACCCCGAAACTGCCCAAACCACACGGTTGCCTAACGGTTTCGAATCCCTATCCCGGGAACAACACCAAGCCGACCCGCACCAGGACCATAGCATCAAATTGTCCCCGAAACAGACAAAGAGGGCCACGGCCCTAGCCCCAACCCCAAAACGCCTGAAAGCAGCCCAAACCCATCTCACCGCCGCAGCACCACCCCGACCAACACCACTGGAATAAGAATGGACTCGACGACCCCGTCAACCCGAAAACCGAGTACAAAGGGGAGATGAATTCGAACAGCAGCAACTCCCCAATTGCTGAGCAATTGAGTCGCGTCCCACCCCCAGAACCGCACCACGGCTCCACCACCGCCCGACAAAGAAGCTACCACCCTGAATTCGTGGATCGGCGTCGAAAACGACGGCGACCCTGGATTCGCGGATAGGCCCAGCTCCATGGGATATGGATGGCAGAGCGGAAAAAGAGGGGCAGGAGCCAGGCGGCCAAGGCCAACTACCGCCGGCGAAGTTCTATGGCCACGATGGAAGGCAAACGGCGTTGAATCGGAAGAAACGAGATCGGGGGAAAAATTGGGGGCAAGGGTTTTCTTTGGGGCGGGAAAAAATAAAATAAATCAATAATTAGATAAATATATCTTAATTTCGGCTGTTTATAAGTGGCATTGTAGCTAGATGTGTAACACATATTTGAGTTTGTGCTCTTTTAGCAAACAAATATAAAGCCTTGCTTGAGTTCGATTCGTTGAAGCTCAGATCGAATTGCTCGTTTAACTAAACTAAAACCTAAACAATTTATTCGTAAATAACTCATTTCGCATAACAATGAGTGGGTTCATAATTTTTTGGAGGATTAATATATAAAACCTCTTTTTTTCATTTATTCTTCTTGATATTAGTTAGTATGCTACGTTTATTATATTTCATTGAAACATAATAGATATAACTACAAGTATAGAAAAGTCTCAATAAGTTTTAAAAAGTCCATTATGAAAGTCTTAAAAAGTTACTAATGAGAATTTTCTGAAAGTCTCAAAAAGTCCACCAGAGTCATGAAAGTCTTGCAAAGTCCACCAAAGTCACCAAATTTAAAAAGTTTTAAAAAGTCCTTAAAAGTCTCAATTGAATACACCCTGCTTAGGGGGATTTTTTAGTGCGGTAGAGGTCATAAATGGTAAAGGGGAAGTAAAAGGAATAAGTTTTCACACCGTCAAATAATAAATTAACCTTTTAATTTCACAAATACGAAATAAATTATGCGATAAATTATGGAACATGCACTAAACTATGTGACGGACAGACATAGATAATTGACAAATTATAAGTGTGAAATAATTTATTCTATAAATATGCGACAAACAGGCGAAGATAATTGATAAAGTGCGAAACAAATTATGCAATAAACAATGCGACAGACAGGCGAATATAGTTGATAAGTACGAAAGATTTATGTGATAGATAAGTGAAAGAGAGGATAGATAATTGATAAAATGCATAATTCATATGCGATAAACTACGTGACGGATAGGTCAAGATAGCCGATAAAGCGCGAAATAATTATGCGATATGATATGCAACAGAAAAGCGAAGATAATTGCACGCCGACGAGGGGGGTCCTTCCCCACGGATCATTATCGAATACCAAACACGTACATACATGATTTCGAACAAAACTAGGCATGCTCCTAAAATATGAACAAAGAGATACTTCAAAACAGAGGCTTTGATTCGATAAGGCGGTCTTCTAGTATGTGTCCCGATCACGTTTGGACAACGGATGGACGATGATCATCCAAACACTTAAGAAGAGCAGGCTGCTTCACGTCTTCTCGAACCCCAAACTTCACCCTCGTCCCACGTGTGGAGGCTGATGAGTGTCTCACAAATTTCTTAGGGTTAGAAGGTATACAAGCCGCTCTATTTATACAGGCACTTTGGCAAGACTATGGATCATCTAAAAGGTATAGAGTTTGGGCTCTCTACATGCACAAATTCTTATGTTCAACCCAGAATACAATTCGGCCCGTAAATATTAATTCATTCCACTAAAAAATTAATATTGCACTCTCATCCTATCCCAAAAAGAATCAGGCCTTTTATTAGACTCAACATAATTTCTCGTATTTAAGATATCTCACGTCCATTAACTATTGAAGCTTCTGACTGCTTTATTTAATTATTTTCTTTTATTCCTTTAGTAGTACCACTCAACCTTATTATCGTACGAATTAAATCTACCTGCTAATATTCCTTATGAGTTCCTTAAGAGCATCTCTAATGCATTCTTTTGAAACGGTAAAAAGTTATCCACCTAATCTAGATAGAAAGTGTGTGAATAATATATCCTCCAATGCATTAGATTATGGGTCCTTTCATGCTTATGTGTAAAAAATTAATGTTAACATTGTCAAGCTCACTTTCTAATTTCTCACATTCTTTCTAACATGATGACTCATCATTTTGATAATTATTTGACACAAATTTTGAGCTTTTCATAAACTTGGAAAAATCCCACCCTTACATTTATCCAATAAAACATTTGAGAATTTATTTGAATACAGTATAATTATTTGATGAGTTACAACTAAAATTTAAAAAATTTATCAATAATAATGTCCTTAAAAGTAAAATATTATGTTCATGATATTTGTTTGTTGAGTTATTGCAATTTTAATATTTTGTTGTTTTATTTTGAACCAATTAAAAAAATATTTATTGTGTGGGTATACATATTGTAACTGAGAAATTATTGAATAAATAATAATTTTATAAATTTGATGATATAAATAAAAATTAACTGAATCAACAAAAAATAACATCATGCATATAATTATTGGAATTTGTGGTTTTTTTCTACTATACTCTTTGATTTTATTAATAATTGAATAAATCCACATATACAAATTGTATGATTGTTGAATGAATGCATTGGAGGCAACAATTCAAATGAAAGTCATATTCTTTTAACATTCAGTTCATGTAGATTAAACATTAATCCATTAATTGACATGTGTTCAAATTTAATTAATGTTGAAAGTTGAGCATTGGAGATGCTCTAAGGGGACGTCATCAACATGGATGATCAGGACATTGTGCCTAATGATAATAAATATATGTCATGCAGATGATGTTATTACCCAAGATATGAAAGCAATTAATGCATGTATTAAAAACTTTCAAAATAAGGTATGCATTAAATGTTTTCAGATTTTTTTGCTACCTTTTTTAGTAAATGGTTATTCTCTTTATATATATATATATAAATTAATTTGATAATATTTTTAATTTTTTTATTATATAATTACTGTAATACATAATGCATATTTAGTTCATTCATTATACCTTTTTAGTTAATCATAGTATATATTTAGTTCATGTGAGGTCCAGTCAGAGCAAGAGCAATTTATTTGTGTACATCAATCATTCATGTGAATCAATTGAAATTTAAATTAAGTATATAATAAACAATAATAATTATGATATTTATATTAATTATATAAAATACACATTCAATTGCATTTTTTTTTCCAAACGATAGATGCTATATTAATACTCAAATAAAGATACAAAAGTTCGAACAACCGCCAACTAAAGGCCAATGACAACCATGAGAGTCACACTCAAAGAGTGAACTAGACACCAAGCAAAAACACACCGGTGAGAGCGGGGATGCAGCCTCCGAAACCTCAATCGGGCAGGAACTACACAACCAATCTAACTCTACCAAAAGCCAACTAAACAACTAAGGAAAAACCAACAGCAGCCGTGGACAAAAACAAAACCAAAAACCTGCTAGCCCATCACCCTAAGACTTCACCGCCACAAACTCTTGTCATTCACTCCAAGCACCACGAGCTATTACAGCTTCCGGCATCCATACTCGTTCAAAGGGCCACAAATTACGTGATTGCCCAAGCCACCATAATATGTATGTCGAGAGTTGAATCCTATCTCCGGCCACCACAGCTTATCCACAAAACACACTTGATTCCACATTCAATTGCATATTTGGAATGCACATTTTGTTTAGGCAAAATGCATATTTGGGTCACACGTAGTGCATGTTTAGTTTTCCAATCATAGCTATTTATTTATGTAGGTCAATATCAATTAAAAATCACATTAATTATATAATGATAATAGTAATTATTATATTTAAATTAATTATATAAACCACACATTTAATTGGATATGTTCACTACACATTTAGTTTAGGACAAATGCACATTTAGTTCATACGTAGTGCATATTTAGTTCATAAACAATGCATACTTAGTTGATATTATTAGCGGATATTTAGTTCATAAAAAATGTATATTCAATTCATATCAAATGCATATTTAGTTCATAAAGAGCTTTCATTATCTTGTGCCTTTCTTTCCTTAATGAAGGTCAAAGTATTAGCTCCACTCGGGCTTCTATTAGACGAAGCCCTTGGACGCAGAATAGGGTTCGTGCACAAGGAGGAATGCATTCCAAGGGATTATTCTACTGTTATTCTATCTTCATCAAGGGTGAATTACATTCCTTAATAGAAATATCAGTTTCCAAATTCATAATATGAGGGGACAAAGTAGGAACAAAGGAGCTCGACCATAGGCAACTGCATATTGCGAGGGCACATTTTATTCATACATAATGCATATTACAGTCAACGGTCAATGCCAAAGTCAACAGTCAATGCCTGGATGTCAATGTTCAATGGTCAAATGGTCAAATTAATATTAAGTAATTAAAATAAAAAAAATAAAACATTAAATGTTGGTTACACGTCTTGATCCCTATTTAATGACTACGATTGGGTCTCACATATACTCACTTTAAATAAGTGACTCATTGGAACCAATCTCTATAAAACTCCACATAGCTAAAATTTCTTGTGATTCTATTTGAATTTGTACCATCATTTGTAGCCATACTCAGCAGGACGATGATCTTCTTAAGAATTCCATCACCAAACTTGAGAATGCCGAATTTTTGTCCCCAAGCAACTGAGCAGGGGAGTCATACTCTACAACTTTTCCTGCATCAAATAATACAATAAAAACAAACGAATTACACGAACAAGTATTTTGCAACAAGACAAAGTGATTATCTTAACAAGTTCCAAAATTTTATTCTCATTAATGAGTGGTCTTCTAAAAGGTTGACCTCAAGATATAGCCAAATAACATTCATCCTAATTATGAAGAAAAAATCGCATCTATTTACTGGTTACCCATCATATTCATTTGCAATACATTCATCCTAATTATGAAGAAAAAATCGCATCTTCTTATTAGTTACAAATAACATTCATCCTAATTATGAAGAAAACATTGCATCTGCTTATTGGTTACCCATCATATTCGTTCTTACATTACAAATTTCCATTCTGTTAGTTTTAAATTGTTAAAATATTGGTTTGACATCGTTCAACAAGCCTAAGTACTTTCTAGAAAAATTTTTAGTTAGTCAAACAAAATAAATGAAAGGAAAATTTTCTATTTATTTTAAATTAACAAAGTTCATAGTATTTATTATTAATAATAAATGATATATATTTATTATATTATATTATATTATATTATATTATATTTTGCTATTTAGGAGAAAGATTGCATAATATGTATGTATGTATGTATACATATGTGTGTGTGTGTGTGGGTGGGTGTGTGTGTGTGGTCGCGCGAGAATGGTGGTCAGTGAAAAAAATAAGAATACATCGTAGTCATTAGATCAGATAATCCAATGGCTAAAAAAAGTCGAACATTTACAGTGATTAAGGGTAAATTAGACATTACCCACAATTATACACACCAGTGGGCCGCACCTACACACACGCACACACGTTGCTCGCCCCGTCCTCAATTCGCCAGCCGCCTCCCAGTCCCGCCACCACCACCGCCTTCAGAGAGGAGTGCCTACGCAATTGTTGGGAGAAGACCAAGTGATTCAGAGATTTACGCTTCCGCCTCCTATCCCATCCAAGGAGACCGATGATCGAGGATGGCTCCATATAGACATTTCCATGGGTCACCCAGCCCGTTGACCCGGCCCGGACCTAACCCATAATCGGCACGAACTCAGCCCAGTCAGACCCGTTGACCAATGGTCTGGGTCCGTGCCCTTGCCTGGATTAAAAACGGGTCAGTTCAGGGTCATATGTATGTAACATACGACCCAGCGAGCTGGACCTGGGTCCGGCCGGCCTAGTAAATCAGCGATAGATTTTTTTTTTCAATTTATTTTTTAGCATGGGTCCTAGATCTGGGTCGAGCCTGTCCCGGCCCGTTGGGTCGTGTCCCCAGCACGTACTTAAATATGGGCCGGTTCAGGGTCGGTGATTTTGAACTCAGCGGGCAGGGTTGGGCCAGGGCCCAAACCGGAATTTGGCCATGTATACCTCCATCGTCTTCATCGGCAACCAAAAAACCTAATCAATTGGTGCAATTTCCTTTATCGTCTTCACTTGAAAAAACTAATCGAACGGGCCTCCTGCGGCCTCTTTGAACCGTAAAAAATAGAAATCAAAGTTAACTCATCAACTGCGAAATTAGCGTCATCTGACTTTTTCTTCTTGCAGTTCAACGGCCGAACCCGCCGGCAACCCGCAAGAATGGTTAATGTCCGACAAAAATCGCCGCTAGAATTTGATTTGGGGCTGGGTGATTTTTGAAAATTTGATATGTCCTAGGGACCTAATTGCAATTTCATAAATTTTTAATGTATTTCAATTTAGTTCAGGAGTCAAATTTATAATTTATCAAAATTTTAACAATTGCACATTAATGTTTAGTGCAGTGCACAATATAACGTTGAATATGCACTTAAAAAGTGACTGCTCTACAAACTACAAAATATTGATAGACACAATGCACATTAGTGTTGTACATTATCGTAACACTGTATTCTGCATAATGACTACAATACCCCTGCGTGAAAAATCAAAAGTCCACTTATAACAAGAATGCTATCGTGTGTTTGACTAAGGTTGGACCCTTTGACCATACTTGGAACGTTGATATATCACATCCAATGGTTAGGATTCATTCTTATTTCTTTCAGTAGGATTTAGAGCCGTGAACCACAATGCAGTATCAATCNCCCCGTATGTTAACGTATCAAATTACTCGTACTGGAAGTCCATGATGAAGATTTTATTGCGCTCGTTAGTCATGGAATATGGGAGATTATTGAAACTGGATGGTCTTGGCCTACGATGGAGGATTCACCCCTAAAAATAAGAATGCAGTAACATCTTCAAAAGCAATGGATTGTGGATGGATGCTTATTGTGGATTTTATTGCGCTCGTTAGTCATGGAATATGGGAGATTTTATTGCTACTATGATGGTAGAAAAGCCCAATGGATTGTGGATGGATGCTGAAAAATCTCAAAAACAAGCCAATGTGAGAGCACTTTATGCTCTCATGATGGTTTGTGGATCAAACGCATCACAACATGATCATACAAAGCAAAATATGAAGTGACAAGTGGAAAATCCTCGAGCATCTGTTTGAAGATACTAGATGAAGCATTCCAAGATCTAAGGGATTGCCACATAATTCGACGAAATTCGCATGAACAATGATGAAGACTATGCACACTTTTGCAATCTCGTTAACCAAAGTTCGATGCTTGGAGAGGAGATTTGTAGGCGAGGCAAGTGAAAAAGATCATGAGGACCCTTCCCAAACAATTTCGTGAGAAGATTACCGCACTTGAGAGCTTTTCTTGAGCCTCTTGGTCTCGATGACTTACTTAGAGACCTTCGAACCTTTGAAATCACATGTGGTTATGGTACAATGGCAATCAAAAGCCTAGGTCTGAAGACTAATGTTCCAACACAGTCCGGTGGTGAAGAATCTGAGGAAGAATTATTCAAAGATTCAAAATTCAATGACGCACAGGCAGTCCTTTTCAAGAAATTTGAAGAGTTGCTGAAAAAGGTACAAAAAACTCCAAGGGAAAAAGGCATCTAATCCCACAAAAAACAATCAGCATTCCAACACCTTCTCAAAAGACTGAGAAGCAGGATGTAGAGAAGAACTAATGTTGTGAATGCAAGGAATTTGGATAGTTTCAGAAAGAGTGACCAAATTTTATGAGTAAAAACAAAACCTATCAGGCCACGTGGGATGATGATGAAGACAACGATGACAACCAGCAACACTCCAATAATTATGTCGTCTGTCCTTTAAACAACTTCACGTGTTACTCGACTTCTCATAAGCCTATTGATGCTGATTCAGAAATGAGTTCTTACATATATAATACTCAACATTATTCTGATTATTCTGGAGATGGTACAGATTCTGTTTAAGTAGACATGGCTACCCATAAACTTGCATTACAGACATGCCTCAAGGTTGGGCAGATGGTAAAAAAACTGCAAGCTCAAGTCAATGAGTTAAAGATGTGCTAACATCGTTCTGCAGAGCATAAGAAGGAGACTGCCTACCTGAGGGATAAACTTCGGAAAACTCGCGTAATGAATGGTGAACTGAATGATAAGCTTACTAGATCTGAAATTCATATCAGCAAGGAGAAACATTTGTTGGACAAATGTGTTGCCAAAATCACGATGTTCGAACACGAAAATAAGTTGTCCGCACAGGTACTTGATAATAGAGATTTTGTCATCTCTGTTTAATGAAATGTTTGCCATGCATAAAACTATAGGTGAAAGGGATTCTGAGATTGTTGCCCTTAAACATGAACTTAGATGGGTTATGGAAAAACATGTGAGCCTCCGAAAACATTGCACTTAAATTGGAAAGCGTCTGACCAGAAACAAAAAGAAAATCAAAATGATCAATAAGTCTAAAGTTCCTTACATGGATGTTTAAGACCTGAGCAAACGGGGTGAAAGGTAAAGATTATAAGGCTAATACCTGTTCACACTAACCTTTCTAATAGTTTGATGTGTTGTGATTGGTTTGATTGTATTCCTCGTAGTTGTTTTTATAGGGACTTTTTTTATGTTCATACATTGCAGGTGTTTGAGTAATTCATTTCTTGATGGTTGAACATAGATATTTACTTTTTTGTTTTGATTATGTTTTGCAGACTATTTTCAAGAAACACGGTTTTTTGAACTTAGTGTCAAAGTGGGAGATTGTTAAAATATTCGTTTGGCATCACCGACAAAACTAAGTGTTTTTTAGAAGATTTTCTTGTTATGCAAACAAAATAAATTAAAAGGAAGTATTCTATTAATTTACTTGTAAATTAATTAAGTTCCTAGCGGTTATCATAAATAATATATGGTATATATATTTATTATATTATGTATTTGAATTCAGAATCTTTCAGGAGAATGATTACATAATATGTTAGATTCTATACAATAATTAGTTTTTTTTCTTTCTTTCTTGTAAGAGAATGAATATGCGATACAGAATATAAAAGAACGAGATGCCAACATAAAGGATCTTGGATGTATTGGAGAAGATCTAAGGAAAATTTAGAAAGATTTACAGCAAGATCTCTTAGATTTAGGTGATCGAACATATAAGAAAAGTCATGTTCCTGCACGGTTTTGGAAACACGATTCTACTTGAAGAAAACTTACTCTAAAGAAATGATGTTGAAGATCATGTCAATCTTTTACGTTAGATCACAAATTCATATATATGAGATAAGTTATATTGTTATCTCCTGAGTATATGGAGTTAGTCTATTATTTTAGAGTTCGTGATATTGTTGATTATATTTTACAGCATATGAATTCAGAAATTAGTTTTCTGTTCCTTCATCTCTAAAGGACTGAAGCATAAGACCTTTGTACTTTTAGGTATTACCAACTTTGAGAGATTTCTGTAATAATTGTTAGTCCACGTTGTGGTCAGGGAAGTAGTTGGTAAGATCGGGTATAGTTGTGGTAGATTTAGGAGGGAGTCATTTACTTGTAATTCCAAACTTTATACCATGGGAGACAAACAATTTGCTAATAAAAGAGCTCTAAGGGGATAGTGAGACACACTCCAAAGTAAATATGATTAATTGTCGTTTCCCCTTATATTTTTATTTTTTTTCACGAAGCGTAGCTTTCGTAACACTAATGTATATGTTGCATGTAAACAGAAGTTTAGCGTGCCTTCTACAGCAGTCCTAAGAAACAACACGCATCATGGAGCATTAAAAAAAGATTCATAAATAACAGGAGAATAAAAGTAAACCCAATCTTACCTTCACCAAGAACCAAAACTAGGTCATTGTCAACTACAGTTGGTATTCGGTGGGCAACTGTTATGACAGTACATCCACTCGTCTCTTCTTTTATCGTCTTTTGGATTAAATTATCAGTCGCTGTATCTACTGAAGCTGTAGCCTCATCCAGGATGAGTATTCTTCTTCTCTGTAACAACACTCTAGCTAGACAAACGAGCTGCCTTTGCCCCACACTCCAATTTTCTCCATCTTCAGCAACTGCAACAAAATTTTTTAATGGCACACTAATCAAAAGTAGCTTAAAGGAAACTACTAAATCAGAAGACTAAATAGAAAATAGTTAAGAACCTGGTCCATCGAGAAGTCTGTCATCTTGCTTCACGTTTTCGGCTAGATGACACTTGTGTAGAACCTGGCACATTGCGAAAAAAATAGGAATACTAATTGTTTCAATAAAATGCTACTTACTTAAGATGTTTTATATTTGCAAAATTTCAGCCTATATACAGAAAACCCATACGTTACAAATTGCACCCTAAAGATGGAATGGTTTGTCAAGTAGAGGCAAAAATTCAATTTTAGTACACTATTTTTGTACACTTTTCATCAGTTTTCATCAGTTTTTAGTATACTAATCCCGTGGCCCGGGATTACGAGATGCCAAATCAGGTTTTTATCCTACCACGTCAATATGTTATCCCTCCACGTAGTTTCAATCCCGGTCCACATCATCTTGTAATTCTGCCAACTGGAATAGCGTACTAAAACTGATGAAAAATGTAACATAATAGACCATTTTTTATGAGGGGAAAGATAGTGTACCAAAAGTGGACAATGAACAAATTAGCGGACCAAAATTGAATTTTTACCGTCAAGTAGATATACAAAGCTTTAGAGCATCTCCAATGCATAAATGTTGTTATCACATAAGTTTTGACAAATGTCAATTATTTAGATGGATTATGAACCACGTGAGATATTTGTTAAGTTCACAACTGTAAATCTAAAAAATTATCTACAATGGACAACGTGATCAAACATAATATTGTCCACTTGGAAAAAATAAAAAAAAAATTATAAATAAGAAACAAAAAAAAATAAATAATTAGATATTTTGAAAATGGTAATAATATTTTTCTCTCATCTCTCAAATTGGTTGATTAGAATGTGAAAGAGCATCTCTACATTGTATACATTAACTATGCCTACCTCGTCATATTTGTGATTGGAGGATTAAAAGTGGATACATTGCTAAAATTGTTAATATAAAGTGTAACTTACTACAAACTACATTTTATCATTGGAGATAAGGACTAGATAATGTAATTTTGAAAATTAAATGGGTAATTATGCAAGGGAAAAGCGTGTATATATATAGTTTATTATGGTTTCACTCCATACCTCCCATATCTGTTGATCTGAATGTTGTTGGAGAGGATCAAGATTCATTCTCAAGGTCCCCTGAAACAAAATTGGATCTTGCGGGATTATGCTGAGCCTCGACCTCAAATCTTGCAGACCTATCTTTGCAATATCCAATCCATCAATCAAAATGCGTCCTTGGCAAGGCTCGACAACTCTGAAGAGTGCTTGGATGAGAGTGGATTTCCCGCTCCCAGTCCTTCCCACAACCCCGATTTTGCTGGGACCCGGAAAAGTGCACGTGACCCCTTTGAGAACTTTTGGGAGACTCGGGCTGTACTGCACGTGCAGATCCTTTACCTCAATTCTCCCGTTCACGGGCCATTCGGGCCCAGGTCTAGAATCTTCTATCACTAGTGGGCCCTCGCTTGGGATGCTACTCAATTCAAGGATTCTCTCCACGGATATCATTTTGTTTTCCACATTACAGAGGTTCCATATTACCCATGCTTGGAGTACATTCAAGTTCAACCCGTACGTGGCTGCTAGCCCCGCCAAGCCTGACATTTTTAACAATTAATTAATTATAGGAAAATGCTAAAGTTTCGCAAGATAAAAAAGACAAAAAGTTGAAATCGTGAGACTAAAAATGTTATGACGTTAAATCAGCGAGACTGAAAATGCAATTTTGCCTCCCCTTAATTTAATTATATACCTTTTTCAAGTTAAAAAAAAAAAAAGTAAGTGTGGATGGATATAGAAAGAGGTACTTACTGGAGTCGATGGCGGAGCTGGGAAGGGTGACCAAGATTATAAGGAGGGAGAAAAAGATGAGGTTGAAGAGAAAGTTGATTCGGACACAGAGCCACTCCATGGTGCTGGAGTTGTAAAAGGCTACTCTTGAGTAATCATCGACAAGCTTCATGTTCATCTTCCGAAACCGATCTTCTTGGTTGAAACTCCGAATTATCGAGGCCCCAGAGATGGATTCCGAAAAATGATGGAGAACTGGAGCTTGTTGAATTGGGACCATTCTAGCTAAATCTCTTGCAGTTGTTATATAGTATGCCTGCCAGGAAAAATAATTACTTATACTAAATTTTATGTCGATAATTGACGTTCATGAGCTGAAATTCAAATAATTCTTGCCTGATACCATATGCAGATTGCGAATACAACAAGGAAGAGGAAAAAGATCTGCCACGCAACTTGTGACATAAGCACAACAATGCTGAAGAGCTGAATAAGCGCAAATGCTAATCCAGCCAACCTGTAAGGAATATCCGTGTCCACTATGCTTTGATCTGTCGATGACTGGCCATGGAGAATCAGACCAAATTCGAAAACGCTTCAATATATATATTTTTTTTAAATTAAAAAAAAAAAAAAGAAGACATATATACATATATACAATAATGACTAAAACAATGGACTGACCCGATTAAGAATTCTGCTTGAAGGCGTGGAGTCGAAAAACGACAAAGGCGCTCGGAAAACAGAATTGATCATCCCAAGGAAAAGTCTCTGAGATGTCTCGATAGCAATAGTCGACAGTAAAACTGCTCTTCCCAGTATAAAAAAAGAGCTTCCTCCAGAAAGCAGAGCAAATATCTTGATCAAACGCCCTTTTGTAACCCTCTCGTCATTTTCTGATCCCCAGGCAATCCAATAATTGCTTGCCATCTGTAACATCTGGAAAAGTATCTGACACAACAAGATAATCGGCACAAGAGCTCCTTTATAAGCAGAGGTGATGAAAGTTGCATACACGTGCCATTTGACTCTACCGCTTTCGGTTTTCTCGTGCAGGCTTCGTTGGTTACTTCTGCTAAGGTCTATGAATTTAACCTCAGTTACTTCTATCTGCTTAGCTCGGTGATAACTTTTCTTAGGTAAGCTTGTACACTTTGGAGGGTTCACTTGATTTAACGATTTACTGTGAGCCTCCATTTGTCTTACGAGTTCGCTATCCGGATTTGAGATTAAATCTCGATAATTCCCTGCCTCCATAATTTTGCCGTCCTTCATCACCTTTTATAACAAAAAAATAAAATAAATATGTATCTTTGCTTTTAGATAGACTGGCTTTACTAACAAGTGATAAATATATGGGCGAAATTACAAATTTAGTCTTGTTAGTTTGATCAAGTGGCGTTTTTAGTCTTGAGATCTGAACATTTTACTATTTGGTCCTATGATTTAGAAACTTAACGCAATTTCAGTCAATTTCAGTCATTTGAAGACTAAAATTGCAATAAAATTTAAAATTACAGGACTTAAATATCTAGTAAACAATCTTTGAGATGAAATTTTGATAAGCAATTTAAGTCCTGTAATTTAAATGTTGTTGCATTTTCAGTCCGGAAAAGACTGAAATTGCAGCAGAATACTAAATTACATGATCAAAAGGTGAAAAGTTGAAATCTTGGGACTAAAAATGCTATGGCGTTAAACCAATAAGATTAAAAATGCAATTTTGCCTACATATATGTATATATATGCTTGTAATATAACAATTACCAACACCAAGTCAGAAGCATCCAAGAACTCCAACTGATGAGTAACGTAGACGACAGTCTTATCATGCAAGAGTTGCATCAGACATTTCTGCAAACATAATAATATCTAAGAGTCAGAAAAATTCAGATTTAACTAAGTGGAACATATATAATCATTTTTGTAGAAAAAGAAAACAGAATATTTTCCTTGCCTTGAACATATGAGCCCCGGTATGCGCATCAACGGCACTAAAAGGATCATCCAGCAAATATATATCCGAGTCGCTGTACAATGCCCTCGCCATTTGAATCCTTTGCTTCTGTCCGCCGCTCAAATTCATTCCCCTTTCTCCCACAACACATAAATCTCCATCGGCCCACATCTCAAAGTCGCGGTTCAAAGCACAAGCATCCACAACACTCTCATAAAAATCTCTCTTCATTTCCTTACCAAACAAAACATTTTCCCTCACAGTGCCCGTTTGTATCCAAGCGCTTTGCGGCACAAAAGCTTTCGAACCGTAAGTTTTAACACTCGACCCAGAAATTCTCGGAATCTCCCCAATAATACTGCATAAAAAGCTCGTTTTTCCCGACCCCACAGAACCGCAAACGGCCACTTTACTCCCTTTAGCGATTCTCACTTTCTCGGTTATTTTAATAGTCGGTCTCTTCGCATGCCACGCAAATTCGCCAGGCTCGATTTCAACGGCAACAAAACCCGGAAAGCTCGGAGCACGATAGTTTACTAACCTCTTTTGATCTTCTTCGGTGATAAAATTCTGAACTCGGTCGATCGAGACTTTGGTCTGAGCAATCATTGATATAAGCTCGGGAAGATTGTATATAGGTTCTTGAAGAATCCGGAAAGTGGCTAAAGCGGACAAGACTCTGCCCGAAGTCAAAGGAATCTTTAAGACAATGCAGACGCTGAAAGTGACTACAGAAACCAAAGTTGGTGAAGCCCAGAAGAGAAAAGCCACGCACGAGCTGGCGTAGAGATACTTCTTCAGTCGAGAAGTTTCGTTTTCTCTGAGGTGAAGAAGTTTGGTAAGGAAAATGGGCTCCCAAGAATGCAGCTTGAGGACACGTATGCTCTTGAGGGTCTCGCAAGTGGCTTTTATCCTCGAGTCTTTGGCTTCCATTATCTGTGTTTGGAGCTTCTCTTGCATGTTGGCTAGTGGGGTATTGGTTAACATCACGAGTACAGTTGTGAAGAGGGCAGCAAAACAAGGGGATGTTCCTAAGTTGTTGTACAAGATGAAAAGGGCAAAAACGAGCTGCACGGGAAGTAACCAAATGCCGTGAAAGTACCTGTAACAACAATTATAAAAAACATAAAACTTTTGTACAACTTGAAGATATTGAATACATATTGATCAAACGATCTGCAATAAAATATTAAAAGTTGGATGTCTACCGTACCAACAGAAGTCACCAATCCTTTCGATGTCCACGTTCACGTAGTTTGTTATTTTCCCGCTGCTCGTTTTTCCGTATTTGACGGATAACGATTTTTTGTATATTAAAGCTATGAGTGATGCTCTGAGACGGATGCCTATTCGGTGGGCCCCGAAATACCACTGTCTCTGGGAGAGTGATTCGACCGTCTTCGCAGCGAACAAGAACAATGCAAGGATCATGCCGTGATGCCAATTTACGTTTTTGTCCTTGGAGGAAAGGAAGTTGACGAAGCTCGTGATTAGAAGCGGGCCCACGTACGAAGCACCAGTGTTCACACCTGATCAGGAAAAAAGAGTTGAGAATTTTTTCATGTCTTTGTTATAGATAGAATAACATCAAAAAAAAAAAAAATTAGCACTAGAACCTGCAAAAACTCCGTTTATGAGAAGGGGTCTCCCTATTGCATCAAGTATAGCTTTCGGCAAAGATGGAACGCGAGTTTTTTGTTTTCTGAGAGACTCTTCGAGTAGCAAAGAAGCTTCGTCAGCGGCTTCCGAACGAGGGATTTGTGGTACATTCTCAACTTGGAGTTTTTCATTCCGACCCTTTTCGAACAGAGGATTAAGCCAACTAAAGGTGAGGTGGCTCCAAATCCCAGCACTTGAAAATGGATTAGTGTCCTGTTCAGAAATACACTCGAAACCATCTCTAAGAAACGGCTTTTTTGTATCGTCGCTCGTTTTATTAGTAATATTATTAGACATATTTCTGCGTAAGGCGAAGAAGAAGAATATGGCTAGTGTAACGAAATCGACTATGTTGGGTTTTGGGATATAATCTGGAAATTCGATGAATACAAGGTGATGAAACAGATAAAGAATGACTGCGAGTCTACGACTGAATTTCAAGTGCTAGAAAAACCCCACCACAAAACGAGCACTAATGGCCACCTTTTTGGTGCACTGCCTACAGAATAAACCACTACCACACATGCAAAAACCAACATTTAACAACTTCAGATTGATTTCCATTGACACAAAATTAAGAATCCAGAACAAAAAACAGCAGTTCAAGGCCTCTCAAGAGACTTGAAACACGAACAAGAACTGCCCCAAGGCTATAGTTAGAGCATGAGGATAAATTATATCCAGAATGGATCAAAATGTGAAGAAAGCACGTGGGGCAGCTCAAAGTGGGTGAAGTAGTGAAATGGAATCTAGACTTTATTCTTGCCAAGAATCAATATTTATTTGCACAACTCACAGTCACGGGAAAAAATTTTGCTCTGTAATCTGCAGACATGTATAAAGAATGAATAGTCACACATCAACAGATTCTAAAATTTGTTTATTTATTTATACACATCAACAGATTCTATATACACATCACCGTCCTATCTAGGATTTATTTTTTTAGATTTTTTGGGAAAATTATTTAGAAATAATTATTAGGGGAGAAAGACCAATATTATATGGGACCAGAGTCCAGTTTGAAATTTATTTAACAAAGAGAGTAGCGCCAATTTTCTGCAGGTAAGAATGTCATCAGGCATGTCTTCATTTTATTTTAATTTTTAGGGTCCCCAAATATAGTTTCCCATACACCAGATCAGAATGCAAATTCAGTATTGTTCTCTTACCTATAAAGAGGAAGGTGGCCCCACAAGAAAAAGTAGTAAACAATAATATTAAATTAAATTACACACGAATTTATTTGCAAAGAACCAGCAAATTTTTGCAAGAAGCAGCAAATTTTTTTTACCCCACGTAAAAATCAAGAAAATCTGGCAAGTAAAAAATTATGTTATAAGATATTCTAAAAGGAACGAAATGGTCCACTCTCCTTCGCATACTACAGTAGTGTGTGTGTGTGTCTGTGAGTGCAGACTGCAGAGAGAGAAAGCAGTTGTCCACATCTGATGTACAGCTCATCAAAGGATCCCTTTATAGCTTATATTTATATATTGAGAGGGGGTATTTTGGGTAATCTCACGTGGTTGGCGTACAGTGGAATGGCCACAGTTTTAGTATTGGCTGGGAAAAGCATAGTTGGTAACTGAGGGCATGTGGGGTGTGAAAGAGAGCTCACTGCACGCGTGTGCTGTGCTCGTGTGAGTGGGACCTCACTCACCCACCCAATAGTGTGTATTCTTTACAACTTACATTCATGTTCTATAATATTTTTTATAATCCCTAGTAGGTCTTACATAGTCAAAACAAATTCAAGTGATAAATAAATTGAAGATTCTTTAAAATCTTACACGACTTTTAAATTTTCTTAAAAAAATCTCAAAATTCTTAAGATATAAAGAAGTCCATAAAAATCTAAAATGATACACCCCACGTATAGGTCAATTTTAGGCTACTCTAGTGGGAAAAATTTTAATCATCGAATCAACACATATTTATACGGGCATGTATGGGTACAAGTGATATGATACATAAAAACTATGTGTTGATAGGTTGGGTCGACCTTACCTTTTATTCTTTTTATCATGTAATATAAGGAAGGATCGATTCTATCCGAAATGACATGCCCTAAAAGGATTTTAACTGTCGGATTACATACTCACATATACATTTATGTAGTAATTGCCATGAGTATATAAATTGTGTTATGCACTGTTTTGAAACCGGAACTGGCCCAGTGGGTTGTTCGGACCGAGTAGTAAGGGACGCAGTCAAAACCTAGTCAACCCAGTCGACTTCGGTATTGACCGGTTGGGTCAACTCCATTTGACATGAACATTAAATATTTTTTTTTTATTTTCTTAAAATAAATTTATGCATATATATTTATGTAGTAAATATTTATAATAAAATACAAAATTATTAAGATTTTGAATATAAAATTTACATATAAATAATATAGTTTTATTATTATATATATAGTTATACTTATAAGATAAAAATAATATTATTATAATTTATTTATTTTTTTATAAAATTAATTATCTAATTTAGCAATTGACTCGATGACCCATTGATTGGATCAGTAAATTGTTGACCGGAGTCTAATCCGGCCAATTACGTGTCCGAGTTTTAAAACTATGGTGCCATGTACCACATGCCCACTATTAATACAGTTGCTACAGTGGTCCATCAAACGGATAAGATGTATCTTCTTTTGGTGAAGCATAATGTTTAAATCGTTTATTGGAT